CGGGGTCATATTTCGAAAAAAATAATCTCACAAGTGAAAAGCGAAAAAGCGATTGAAACGTTGAAAGTGCCGCTTTTCCTGTCATTTACTTTATTTAATATAAAAAATATCGATGAAAAAAACATTCTTTGAGACCGGAAAGGAATTGTTAGAATGTTAGAATACCCTAACAGTTTAAAAGTTATCTAGGAAATTAAATAATAAGTTTGCCGTTTACTATAAACGATCTCATGTTTCCATTTGAAAAAAACCAAACAAACAAACAATAATAAAAAAGAAGCACACACACACACACCACCTCACACACAGAGAAAATGAAATGTAATGGGAAGGCTTAAAATTAAAATCCGTCCACTTTCGCGAAAATTTATGTGTGGTTTTCGTCGATAAAGATACAAAAAATCATGTCCAGGTTGGAAGTAAAAAGTTAGTAAACAAACGTCTATTCAATTATTGATATTGCTGAAAAAATTATAAAGATTTTTTTTTCAAAACGTTGATATTGGTGGCTTGTTCTGTGAACTTTCAAAGATGTACTTTTTAGTTATTAGTGGTTCGTCAATAAAACACGATAGTGCGGAACTGTAATACGTCACTGATACACAACACAGATACTCGCAATGAAATCGACATCATTTGGTAAACAATACCAGTCCCTATTTTGTGTTTTCCGCAAATTCAATTATGTATAATCAAATGGAAAATGGTAGACAATATATGCAGCGTAACCAAGCCCTCGGCGATATTTGAGATTTTCATTAATTATAAAAACTAGACAGAGTTGCTTGCTGTCAGAATCGCTCAAACGACACGACCATAAAGTAATAGACATTTCTCAGGTGATGTCGATATTCAGATAGAATCAATTTCATATCATCAGTTGTTTGTCGCAACGCACCTTATCTCTATGGCAACCAAATCGTTTCCAAAGAATTTAGGAATAGATAAAATATTATGTAACAAAAAATAGACCATTATATACGATAAAATGTCATTTAATGTGAAAGAGATACTAAAACAATAAGATTTATAGATTTGTGCCGGAGTCATAGATGAATGATTTGATTATATAACATGCTAATTAATTGGATTACAATCTGCCAAATGCTTTTTTACATGTCGATATGCAGTGAGGCTATCACAGGCAGAACTCCTTCAAACACAGCTTAACGGTGTATATTCCAAGCGGGCAATGAATGCGTGTGTCGATTTTCAAGAGAAATGTTGACAAATACGACGTCACCGAATACAATAATTTTTTATAGTTGACAATAGAACACAGGTTCGGTATACATCAAATAAACCGTATGCATGATGTAACGGCTTAGTAAGCCCTTTATGCAAATCTCCAGAAGCAAACTCCTTGGCCGTACGGGTTTGTGATAGTCTCTACTGCCTACCAGGCAGGCTACTGCCAACAAGAATTGGGGTATTTCTAAATGGTGCTCTATGACGTGTTCAACTATTTCTCGATCTTGGATCTGACACGAGGTATCGAGGGCGATCTGTGAGTGTACGTCACTAATTGTACAGATAGATATTCAGTGCTGCGTGTTTTAATGCTGCCCCTTAATTGACCAGATTTGACCTTATGACAAAAATAGCATTAGATCTAAGTTACAATCCTGATTGCCGTGTTTCGGAACAAAAAAATGTATTGTTTTGTACAATAAAGACGGAGACATTCCGAAACTCGAGACTGATGTGATAGCTTGCACAACAGTCATTGGGTCACACAGTGCGAATGTAAATTAAGAGAAAATTTTCTATTTACGCCAAAATTAAAGAAATGTTTTCTTTATTTTTCATCCTTGGGTAAGAAAACCTTTGGCCTTAATTACAAAGAAACACTTTCCACTTCGAAATTGATACACAGTAATCGGGCCGAAATAGTAAATCTAGACACTTGTGACAAGACGTTTTCTAAAGCTGAGAGATGAACAGAGATAACTCTCTTCAAACGGTGATTCGTCTTTTTAAAACATATCTCATTTAATTTATCACTATATCAGGCTTACTTTGGGGAAAATCTTTATGATTGTCAACCATAGTAAGGAAATTCTTCTTGACAAGTCATAAAAGCCGTTAAAATGATTTCATAGCTCTGTATATAAGGTTAATAGACTCTAGTCCTCATTTTCATTCTATCCGAAAGCGATCGGTTGTCCTCCTTTAGGAATCCGTTGCATTCACTTGTATAAGAAGAAATTCCACTTAGATATTTCTGTGCAAGAACAGGCGTGGTGAAACGAAAACTTTGATTGTCAAATGATTTTAGTTTGTTTTGTTGCTAAGATAATGTATTCTTTGGCTGCAGTTCTGAGACAAAACATCTGTAAGACCTTGTCACAGAACTGAAGTTCTTTTGAAATAAATTGTTTGGCGTACATAACTACATCGTTAGATCATACCAATTGTCTCGAACCAAGGAATTATTCGTAAAAAAATCCTTGTTTTCTGTTGTGTTTTTTTTTCGAGAAAAACATTACCAATTTGCGGGTGTCGTTGTATCGTTTCCAGTGGTGTTTGTGTGGCCATCCGATCTTACGCTTTAATAATTTTTCTATAACTGTAAATAACTTTTTTCAAGAGTTACTTTTTTTGCGGTTTTACGAAAGTTTGAAGAAAAGGAGATGTTGTTTTCGTGGAAGTTATAAACAGGACAGTCGTTCTTCTTGATCAAATTTATCTTCAAGATATCTTTTTTCACAGTTCAAGAAAAAAGCTAAAATAGGATCCCTCGAAAACAAACCTTTACAGTATGCTATCATTTTTGTCACTAAATTATTTTTAACACATTACACGAGTGTGAGATTATTCATTATGTAACCCGTATATATGTAATTATTTTTGTCAATAAAAAAATCTTTTGTTGGCGATTTATTAAATTTCATATTACAATAGCACAAGTGTAAAATTCTATTTATTGATAAACCCATATTTCAAACAAATTAGCAAAAGCTTCCAATATATCAGACTTATGTCTACGTGGACGATAAAATCACTTGACGTCATCAAGATGTGACTTATTTATGACGTCACAATATTGCTATTCCACATGTACCTTACGACATATGACACAACAGGCCAGCTATGTGATAAAGCTAGAGGTAACCTTTTCTCTTCGCCGTCTTTAGCTATTTGTTCTTAGATAAGGTACCAGGGTAAAAGTCTACATCATGAATATGGTGTCGCCTAAAAAAAATAAGAAAAAATGAGGCACACCAGCCGACACAGAAAACAATCAAAGTTTCTAGATAAATATTTCTTTATTATCGAAGTCTGTAGAAAATGATGACATGACACAAATGCAGAGAACTTTCAACATCCCTGAGAAAATTCAGTCTTCACTTCGGTACCATGAATATGGAGGCAAGATACGGATACACGCTACAGTGTCACCTCGTTACACTGCCCTTCGTTTCAATGCTCATTTCACAAAAGTATATCATTTTCCTTTTTCTACCTGACAAATCCTTTGACATGTTACCGAGACCAATTCTGTATGGGCAGTGTAATGAGACTTTTACACTGTAGCGTCATGACAAAACAATCGATGATTTAATGTATTTTTTACACCAGCAAAATCTTTTAAAGAGGGACAAGACAGTTTTACAGATACCTTACTATAGAGATATATTTACACGCCGAGATAACATTCAAGACAGGACTTTACGACTTTACCTTTAGAATCTGAACACACTTATTTCTTTGGGTTTTGGTAATAAAGAAAAACCCGTGTCATATTTCACAAATCAAGAACAGACATATACGTACATATCAGTAAAAGATTAAATACCCTCAACAGGGAGATATTTCATTTTCTGATCGTAATCATTGCAGTTACTAAGTAAAAAGGTTATTGAAAAATAGCCCAGTCATAATCCAAGTTAACATCTGAAAGCTATTTATAAAAGCGTGTTTATTTCTGTCTTGTTGGACTGTAGGTCCTGTATCGGTTTTAAAGGGCATTCATTTCATTTTTGACTTTTTACCATGACAATCAAGTGATATCAAAAAGTTAACAGGTACAACGGAAAACATACACAAGTTCTGACTACTCCGCCGTTGCTGGGCTTTGTCGGGGTGTGGTGGAGGGGTTGGGGTGTGAGGAATGGGGTATGGACATGGATGTATGGGGTTTGGAGCATGGGGAAGTGAACAAGGAGTGTGGAAACGAGATATAAGGAGGCGAAGAGAGAAAAGCACTGAGGATACTGGGATACTGCATGTGTGTATGGGGGGGGGGGGGTGATAGCGAAAGGGACTTGAAGAAATTGGGGAGGGAAGGGGAAGGAGCATAAGACAGGGAATTGAAGACAAAGACATCGGGATGGTGAGACTAAGAAAGAGCAAGGGCAAGGGCATAGGGACAGAGGTTTTGGAACGGGAAGGGAGAGAAGGGACAGGGTAAAATGACGCGCAATATTCAACTCTGGCGGACACTAATATGGCACTTTAATTATTGGCAGCTAATTATAATGGAATAATAATTAAATGATATGCACGAAGTTTATCGATATTGCCCGATGACACTGGAGTTTAATTTGGAATGGGATCAAAGCAGTGTCTTATCAACCTGCTTGTGTGTAGGTCGTCTAACGTGGCACCGAATTAAATCATATGTAGTAGATACTCATAATACATGTTTACAATAAAAAAACCTGCTTAAATTGAACAATTTCTAAATAAAAAGGTAGAGTTTAGAGTGGTTATGTATATCTGCCGCGTGATTAGGACATAAATCTCCAATTTAAACAGGTTTTCACTTCGCACTCTGAAAATTGATTTAATGAGTTATGAAGTTCTACAGACCACCTCTGTTCTTTCACAAATGTTCCATCTCACGCGCACAAATTCGTCCGTCTATTTTAAAGCTATCTTCGACAACCCAACATGCTTTTTTTTGTCTTGGGCTGGTACCTGACACAAATGTATCAATCTTTTTTCTGACGTCCTGGCAGTATATCGAGTTGAAGAGACCACAGAAACATTTTGAACACATTTTCACAAGTCGATGTAATCCACAGGCTCTTCAGCAACAAAACTGTCATCAGAACTATTTGGATATGGCGGAGTAAGTGACGGTGATGGGGCAGAAGGCCGCTCTGGAATATCTTCACGTGATATTGGCGGTAACTGCTTAGAAAGTTTTTTCATGTTAGCTCTCTTTCCATTTAATTTTTTTGATGTTTTGTTTGGTTTGTTGCCGAAGTCATTTGGTTGCCGTGGCAACGCATTATTTCTGTTACTGTCAGAACCAAGATTGCCATTTGGCATTTGACCGTTCCACGAACTGAGAATAATGTGATCCTTAGTTCTCTCTCTTGCTAATGTAAGCACTTCCTGTAGCACTGGGTCCTGTCGAGGGTCAGGTTTATTGTTCAGAAAAGCTACTTCATTGTCAATCAAAGCATCATCATACGGAGAATTAATATTTGCTCTGTCAAAGTTAGAAGTAACACCGACCCGCGTGCTTTCACCAATGCCTGGAAGGGGCGCTCTCTTCTGTAAGCGAATGTTTGTTGGTTGTCTTTCATACTGATATTCGCGTATGAATCTCATGAACTCTTCCGTGCCGGGGTCAGGTCGTTTCATTGCCACTTTGCGACTATGATTTTGGGTCTGGTGATCTAGTCTCGGAGACAATGATTGTTGTGGTGGCCTCATGTTGTCGCCGTTCAGTCGTTCCATCAACTGATTGGCCCTTCGTCTTGGACTCAGGAGTTGGAGTTCCTCCACTCCCCCACAGTCCTCTCCAGCACTACTCAGCACCTACAAACATACATAAAAATACATTACAATAGAAGATAACATAAAATTATCATGTTTTTCAAAATTGTGATGTCAAAACGAAAAATGCTTAAAAACGTTAATTTCTTAAAATCATGTGAACAAAAACAAAAATACATTACAATAGAAGATAACATAAAATTATCATGTTTTTCAAAATTGTGATGTCAAAACGAAAAATGCTTAAAAACGTTAATTTCTTAAAATCATGTGAACAAAATGGTGGAATAATGTAATGATAAATGTCAGAAAAATGTTGATTTCATTCTTGAGAAATACAATATACAATTACATTTCCAATGCATAAAAGGTTTTGTGTGGACGAAAAGGTTTGTTCTGTTTACATTTTAAAGTGGAATTCGTTGATTTACAGTGTACATTAAACACCAGCTGGTGTATTACTCCGCCCTGGTTACTTTTCGGATAAGTTGGCATTATTCCGCCAATTAACTTTTAAAACAAATTTGCATTAATTTGATAATTTACATTTATGTCTCGAATTTCACAGCTTCATTACAGTACGGACTAGCCTGTTTTGAATTGGTATTCATTTGTCATCATGGATAAATATCATTGGCCTAATTTTGACTTAAATTACTTAATCATATAAGACAGGTTTGAACAATTTCATGAATCTTTCAGCTAGATAATTTACCTTCGATAAAGAGATAAATAAAACACACCGGTTTAGTTTACATGAGGAATGTTAACATGTTAACAATCGGCTTTAAATCACGAATATTCATCCTGTATCTGCCAGGACCTGATGATCCAGAAAACCTATCATTATTGATATCTATATAATAAGTTTGACAATATGGTTATATTTAAATTTATATTAGAATAATATTATTGATATTATTTTTTCTAAATTTCAAAAGGTATCATCCTTCCAATAGCGATGAAATGTTTTGATCAGAGTATACCTGTATTTCACTAAATTAAACTGCTGTACATTTCACATGCAGGTATAAATTTCAAAATGTAGATTATACATGTGTGAATTACAGAGTATATATTACACATGTATGAATTTCAAGAATAAATTACGTAAGTATTCATCCACACTGTAGATAACTCAGGTGTGAATTACATAAGTATGAATTTCATGAATATGCCTACAAGTCTGAATTACATACGATTGATACAAACAATGTGAAATAGACAGTGGTCTAATAACTACAACTGTATTGACTCGAATTGCATGAACCAATCAATTTACACATTAAATTGCATTTCACAGGTGCGTGTGCTATCTATATGTACATAACGTAAGTGATAAGACCACTCCTAATCCACATTGAAACGTGCTGGCCATTAGTGTTTACCACTGACCATAAAAACTGTTCATGTTAAAAATGGCAAATGATGAATAATGAAACATCGTCGTTTGTTTCAACACAACTGTAATTTGAAGACATAAAACATGACATATTTAAGCATCATATTATTTTCTAGCTCAATAGTTTGTGAAAATGGTGAGCAACTCATGTTTTCGATACAAATTGACATATAATAGAATATTTCTACCTGCAAAATACAAAACATAAATGCTACCTTACCTAAGTAAATTCATATGAATTAATTTTTCCGCTTAACACGTGCGAGCATATCACTCATGAGTAACCGTAGCATTTTAGTAATCGGCAATCCTGCTACAGTTGGAACTATGTACGGAATATAACGCCCCACAATCCCAATATTCCAGTTCTCATCACACGGCATCAATCAAATCTCAACCTATTCATTTTGCAGACCATTTACATGCTGTGAATATTTAACAAAGAAATAATGTAAAACCTTATAAAAGATAGGAAATTACCTGATAGACCATATTGAAAATCTCAGTCAGACGAATTGCTATACAATAACGATATAAGAAGGCGTTTTATCCGTCCCTAGGTCCGTATCACTGTATCCATATTAAAGCTAAATGTCCACAATGTTTCTTTGCTGGCAAGCTATTGCCTTTGTGTGTATTCAAAAGTCCAATGATAGCGAGTTGACCTTTGAAATGAATGACTCCCACATATAGAATCCTTTTTTCATCAATATTCGTCAGCTACAGTAAACTTTTATATACGATATTGAACCGAATGCGAGTGGTTGTTCACTGGATACAAGGACAGCTTCTCTCGTATTTAGATAGATATATGTTGGATTCTGAATGCTTAACTGTTTTTCACGTCTTTGATCCGTTAATGTACAATCAGTTCTGATGGTGTTGAGACCCAAAGAACGGCTCCACCCGATTTGCTTATCTGTCGATCGTGAATCGGCCTACGTAACTGTAAGCACAATGGTTGGATATTTTATATATATATATATATAATGTATATAGGTATACAGCCATTGAATATTAATGCGCAAGTCGTATATTGGCTACATAAGTAAACACGTATTATATATAGACAAACGAGACGCATGAGTAGATGACCAAAGCTCTGTACGTTAATGATATCTTCAGTGCTGTAGACAAAGACCTGTGTGAGTCAGCTCACCTCTCGTGTCTTTTACCAATATAATTAAATGTCGGAGTATTTTTTTCTTTTTTAAATGTTCCCAATAGACGCCTTGTCATGGTTTGTTTGGATACAGACCAAGAGATTACCAACACTCTTCATAATTAGTGCTTGTTAAGAGGTCAACCAAGGAGCAAAGATATCATTGGACCCCTTCATTGCTCTTTATCACAGCCAACTGATAAACGGCCCCCGTTCGTCTTGTACGGAGACATAAAAAACTTTCCTGGAGGTCGCCCTAACGTTTTTATTAGTCACAATTAACTAAGACACTTGTGTCATATTAGCTTTGGTTAATTCCAATCAAATGATAAACTTTCTTGTATTGAAATAACTAAACGGCGTACGAAAACGTTTAAAAAATATTCATTGAGATACTTATCAGCCTAATATTATAATGTCAGCAGAATCTTTAGATATCAAATCATATCATATAACAGTTTTTTCTCTTTTCTACTAAATGGTTGACAGTACCATTGACGACTGTGATAATAAGGACTTCTCCGTGTCGATCGGTGTAGTTTACGTCCAGGGTCAAATACATTTGTGCGTCACGGTTTGTATCGCTTGTCGCGTATCTTTTATACACTCTAGATGTGTTGAGGATATCAGGGCAATGTTAAAGACGCTGATTACAAATTCGATTTCCTTTTTCTTTTTAACTTTACATGTATCCAATCTTGAAAGATATGCCCATTGATGGAGGAGAGTAAACAGGAAAGATGAAGAATCTAGAAAGACATGCTCAGAAATATTGGACAGTAAACAGGAAAAGCTGAAGAATCTAGAAAGACATGCGAATTGATGGCGGGCAGTTAACAGGAGAAATGAGGAGAGTAAACCAAAGCCAATTTACTCTGACACCTCACACTTACAGGAGAAAAATCTGTTGAATGTAAACCATCAAACCGTTTGTTAAGAATTTGACGATTTACTCTATGCCAACACATTCTATTTAAAACAGGTGCATAATTGTTGTGCTTGGTATTACAATGACGCTATGTATAATTGATATGACCAATATTGAAAGCGACTGTAATAAGGGATCAGAATAGATTTCTATAAAGGCTGGTCATCAGTTCCACTATCTATAAATTAATTGTCACAATTATTACTCATGTTGTACTCCCAGTCGTATTATGACGGTGCTGTCGTGCAATATAAGATTACTGATACAATGGACAGACAATCTAATGTATACACAAATGAGGCCTATTGTTGTTTTTGTTGGTTAAAATGTAAAATTGATATTGCGACTGCATCATTATTGAAAACATTCACATACTCAAAAAAACAAACTATGTATTCACTCGATTTCATTTGAGTGACAGTTGTTAGGTTCGAAATGAATACTGATACTCTTCCTTTTATTGTCAGGGCAAGTGAAGGTCGGTAAGTACACGTGCTCTCACGCGTATTTTATCTCTGTACATATGAGACAATGACGTCATTTGTTCTATTTAATTATTCATGTATTTGACTAGTTATATTTATGGTGGTTTTTTGTTATTTTTCTTGTCAACTATGATGTATTGACTGTGTGTTAATGCTGGAATATGTTTATGGTTTTATGTTAAAAAATTGTTGTGTATATGTTATCTTTGTGGTAACCCTATGGCGTCTTATGTCTTTGTTATATATCTGCGGTAACCCTATGGCGTCTTATGTCTTTGTTACATATCTGCGGTAACCCTATGGCGGCTTATGTCTTTGTTATATATCTGCGGTAACCCTATGGCGGCTTATGTCTTTGTGTATTGACACTGTGCTATATTCCATCCTTGCGTGTTGATAATGTGGTATATTTTGTCCTTGTGTGTTGACAATGTGGTATATTTTGTCCTGGTGTGTTGACAATGTGGTATATTTTGTCCTTGTGTGTTGACGATGTGATGAACTATCGATTTACAAGTACAATAGCTTGAAATATAGGAAACACAACACATTTATATCTCAATATACACAAATAAAACATAACAGTACCAACGGAATAAAAATAAATATGTTTGATATTCAAGATCTGATTAATCAGCAGTGTTACGTTTCAGTGATCGAATTTCAGAACTATATAACATTCATATCAAGAAAAGTATAGAGTGAAAAAGTAACAAATAAAAAGATATCAGATTTCCTACTTGTCTGAAATATGTATTACTTGCCATAAGATATACATAATAAAGCATTTCTACTGATCACATGACGGACTAATTTGACTGTAGTAAGATTGTTTATAAATAACATGACGTATGTGTCCGCCTATATCTGGGACATAGATCCCTTCGTCATCACGTTTAGTCTCGCCTTCGTACTGATGGCGCGGGGCACCGTCATGTTGATATATATTATTCTGAATTCATCCATTAGAGCGATGCTTTAAATTGTTGGTGATATTTATCAACAATTATTGATCTCGGATTAACAATAACGATATATGATATCGATCTCCAAGTATTTCTGTTATTAGTATTATAAAATTTATTCATTGGCCGTGTTTTAATTCCGGAATTGGCAGTTCGTACCTGATATGAGTGATGTATGGGCGGTCGGTTTTATTGTTAGATTTCTCTTGGGAATATGAGGTAATCAGATATTTGCTATGTTTAGGCTTGTTATTGTTTATTTTGATGTAGTAAATAACAATTGTTATTAGCGGAGTTAGGAGGACCCTAGATACCAAATATGCATAGATGATTATTATTGTGAGAGTTAACCACTGGGTATAACAGTTAAATCAGGGCACACGATAAACTGGACCAGAGATCCTGTTTAATTTTTTTTTATTTGTCAATTTCTAAATGGTAAAGCCATAAGGTTTTAAGCATCGATAAAAGAAATATATCAACATATCGAACGAAAATGACAAGAGGTCCCTATATACACCGCGATCAAGTACAGACTGTCTTGCACAAGAACAACATAGACCACAAAATATAAAAAAAATGACAAGAAATATCAAAGTTAGAACAAAATATACACATTTTGAAGTAGAAAAGTAGACCTAGATAATGAATTAAACTGTATCACAAAGCTGGTCTGCAGTTAATACACAATTAATGGGGCAGCATAAAACGACATCAACGAGCAAAGTATCAACAAGCTTGCCACAGCAGGTTTTCAATCACATTATTTACAACAGGTCATCTGTTATCTCACCAATATAATATAACACATATCTGGATATAAATTAACAACAAGACAATGCCAACATGTAAACAGAATTATAAACCATACTCACATTCAATATATCTACGGCAAAACCATTTACAAAGGGATTCATGAAAATGTACAAGGAGAATAAGGCTAGATGTTCCAGAAGAGTAAGCGTCTTCTGCTTCATCGACGACACCAAGTAATGTCAAGTTCCCAAATGAAAACAAAATATACAACAACGGAACCAACTGACAAACTAACGAGCAACAAACACGTCCAGTTTCATTTTGCGCAAAAAAATAGAATATTTTTAAATAAGATAGCTATGACGACCGTTACCTATACCCGTAATTTTCATCAACCTGCATGTTTTTAAACCCTTAAGATATACCACAACGGAATATGATATGTTACAGCATCATCAATATACATTAAGATCTATGCAACAACGGCGCCATGTTGAAGAGGATTCAATAGCGTCAAATCTACCACAGCTACATCACACGAAAAGCAACATAGAAAGACAATATAAAAATCAACACACAAGTAATAAAATTCAGTAGCCCTGGCTTCACAAAGGAAAATACCAGTAATAAAAGTAAAAAATCCTTACCAAAACAAAACAAAACCAGTGATTTATGTTTTCAGGTCATGAAAGTTCAATAAAGCACATATACACCTGATCAATTTTACATTTTAACAGCTATCATGTTTCACAAAGAACCTGATAAACATTCACGCCTTCATGTAAAGTTTGATACTGCTAACACGAAAACATCATCTCGTAAACCATGATGAAATGATACAGAAGAACCCCCTCTCCACACACACACAACATGCTAATTTCTTGGCTATCGGGTGTAGTATTTAAAATATTGAAGAAGTCAAAAGTCTACTTTGTGTAAAATTAGAATTCAATAATACTGAATAGTGTATTCTCAGACATCTTGACAAATGCCGAAACAATTAAAAGCTGGTTTAAGTTAGTGAGTTTGATGAATACGGCTTCCACTAGCTCACGATTATTTTCATGTTAGCTTAACAAGTTGTCATCTAGTTCAACTAAGACGATTTGGTGAGTTTAAAGTGTTGTTTTTAACACGTAATGTTTGTCAAGATGGAATGCTCATGTCGACCTAAGTCTGTTTAGAAATAAAAAGAT